ATAATTATGATAAAGATACTGATTATATTTGAGATCAATTTTATACAAAAAAAAATATACATATAATGTGTGTGTGTGTGTATGACTTTTGTTATTATTTTGCGTATTATAAGATTGCAAAAGTCAACAAGATGTAGCAAATGATAAGCCTGTCAAGCTAGCCAAGTCAAATAACGTTAAATTTATCGATGACGCATGTATGAATTAGCGGGTCGAAAGCCGGGAGATATTCTTGCGCAATATTACAGAGGGATGTTTTGACTCTGAAAAACGCTAATTGACAAGAATGCACCGTAATAGATACGTAAACGGAAAATGCGCAGTATCCGAGAATGCGGATGATTGGTTTGTATCCAATTCTCATAAGTGAACAGAGCGTTTTACTGCGCCGTAAGTTCTAATCGGGTCATATAATAATCACGTGGGCGATAGTCGACATTTAATATATACACTTTCTTGCGTTTCTTCGTCTGGAGAGGCCAGCGACGTCGTCGGGGCCTCGTCTATGTAGCAAGATTGTTAAAACTATAAAATAAAGAATAAAAGAAGTCATGCAAAGGAAGTCGCTTCCGTGACATAATAAATTCAGAACTTTGAAATCCTTACAACAGTCATTCGTAACAAATATCGTGCCGCTTCCTTATTTGCATTCAACAATTGTCTCGCAAGATGTGCGCTGTTTCGCTTTTTCAATAACAATTTACTCATTTTGAAATTCAACGCTTTTATTTAACGAAAAATAGTATAAATAACAATATTATATATATAATAAAAATTGAAATGTCAATATTATTTTTATATTATATTTTTATATATATAATAAAGCAAAATAAAATCTTAGTATTATATATTGACGTGACTTCGATCAGTGATGACAAAAGATCAATGAGATAAATATAATCGCATTTGATACACATGTTGAAAACTTGTCAATTAACTAACGCGGTTTGCAGTCGCGATAACATCGCATCCGTGACGCACGATATAAACGTCTCGGCATAAAGTTCGCGTGAAAACTTGTGCAATCACAAGTATATAGCAAAGCTTGTAACGATTTATCGTTTTGGCAGTTTCCACGAACGGAAAAGACCACCCGTAGCGTAGTTTTCCCCGACGAGTCGTGTCGTCGCTAATCGAAGTTGCGTAATCGCGTGATGTTCAAGGCCGTTCGAAATAACCGCTGAAAATGCGCGGAGCGACCTAAAGTCGAGCGAGGAAGTTCGATCGAACATAATTTTCCCGCCCACACAAGGATCGATTAAAAATATCGAATAAATCGATAACGGTGAAATATTTTTATTTTTTTTTTATTACGTGTGATTCCGAGTGATTCGCGAAATCGCGTGTAGAGCCGGCACTGTTCAACGGCATTTTACGCCGCTTTTCATTCTTATCCGCCCCGTATTTCGTGGAAGCGAACGTTCCCGTTGATTCCATGACGTCATATACAATCGAACGTTCACCGTAGACACTTCACACGATGCAAACAGCTGAGAATTTGAGGAGGGGAGGGCGTGATGTCCATCCGCCAATCGCATTCGAGCGTGACCTCGTTCGTCGACCGCCATAAGTTCCAATTCTTCAAGATGCGGGTACTTCCTAATGCACGAGTACTATGAAACGATGTCGTGCTTCCTACTCACATGAATACATAGCATACGCACGTCACGCGTGGGTGGCTGTATGAAACGGATACACCGAATGCGCCATATCTTTCTAAGTAAATAACCTCTAAGCCATTAAAATGTCATGATTATTTGAGGTCTTTAATTATGCTTCAACATGTTCTAAATACAAATTACCAACAAAACATAAATCATTTAAAAACTTTACTTGTCATATGATGCAATTACAAATCTTTCTAATTTATAAATCTAGATTATATAAATATCTCGGAAAAACAATACTTTGTAATTAATCGATCTTTTGTTACTTACGATGAAATCATTGCGACGATGATCTTTCCGAAGAATATCGAATATATTGGAAAGACAGTAATTTTATCTTGTTTGTAGATACAAAGAAAATAATCTACGAACTTCAAGAATATGAATGCTTTTTTCAAGGAAATCTAGAACAATCGAGAACAAATTTTACAGAGTAATTTCAATAAATTTGTTTTTGGCGAGAAGAGGCTTTAAATTTGTAAAATAGATCTCACGCAACAATTTTTAAATTATTCCCATGTATATAGGAGGTTATGTATACAGTTTTTAAATCATTCATGCAGTCATTTGAGAAATTTCTATACAACAAAAAAAATAATGACCGTTTACAGAACTGATGGAGACAACTGAAGGAAAGTGATTTTCAATTTGTACATAATACTTTTTAAATTTAAAATTAATTTAAAAGTCAAATGAAGTTTTGAATATCCACATGGGCTAATATGTTCTTAATGTTCTAAAATTGCTCCTTTCTTTTCTTTTTTTGTCTTGGTTTCCTTTTTCTCAGGAAAAAGCTTTCCATATTGTTTCCTGACTTATGCCTGACTTGTGCAAGAACGAAATATAATTTCGCCGATGTAGGCGAAGTAACGAGAAAGAAAAAAAGAGAAGAAACAAATGAGAAAGAGAAATGAAAGGCCTCGGGCACGTTATCGGTGCGAGATAATTGCATCCTTGCAGAGTCGCTGTATTAGAGAACTTCGGTCAAGAATGACAGTATATCGCGATCACGTGGCGAAACACACATAAGCATAACGACGGGTAAGGGTGAGGAGAAGGGAGGAGAGGAGAGAGCGGGACGACCGAAAGAGCGATAGGCGGAGGGGAATAAGAGGGTTGCTATATAACCTTACGCTGGCGTTCTATCTCTCAGTTCTACTTGGAGTTCGGACACGTGAGTTTCCGAGCAAAGCTCGCGCGAAGGGAAAGTTTTTATTTGTTTGGTGCGCTCATTGTATGGGTAAGTGCGACGCGCGAGGCGTTATTCAATCGGAGGGACACCCGCGGTATCGAGATTGCGCGATCGAGTAATATCGAAATTCGCTTTTTCTTTTTTTTTGTTCTCTTTCCGCATTGGAGGATACGATTCTCTATTCATAGGAAGTGGCTCTTCCTCGTTCCTCTTTCTTTGTCCCGCGCGAACATCCGCAAAAATTCACACGCTCTTTTCCTCGAAATTATCGCGCCCTCATTTCTCCATCTCGTGATAGTCATCGATGACTCATTCTCGTATCCGCCGCGAGAGCTGTATCACAACAATGATGAATAACGACGCGAACGGAGGTCATCTATGTTGCGAGTGTAAATAACGTGAGGATTACTCTCGAGCGCTTCTCTCCTGCGGTTGAAATGAAATCGTGAAAGGGAATTACGCCTGACGATATCCCCTCGGGTTTTCCTCGCTCGGCCTTCCATGACGACGAACTCGACGGTTTTTCTGCGGTGAAAATCCGACGGAGAAGAACGCACGAGGACGAAGACACGTAACGGGTGTTCCTTTCTTTTCTCTCCCCCCCCCCCTTCCCTCTCTTCCTCGCATGAGATCCACGACGCGGCGGATGGGAATCCCGCGGATCCCGTCTCGTGTACAGCGAAGGTCGACTGAGTATACACGTGGCATACGCGCTGCATACATATCTATTTGGTCGTGTATTGATTCGCCGCGCGCGTCCTCTAAAGAGCGCACACCGCCATGTTGGATACCGAGCCGATGACAAATCCGATCCGCCTCTCCGCACTCATCTCGCAAATCTTGTCTTACGGCACCGTGCTGATCCGTGTGCTCAAATAGCAGTGGACTTACGGTAATCGTGGTCATCCGTGCGAAAGTTATTCCCTTCCCGCAACAGCCACGAGGGGGAAGAAACGATGTTGGCATCGTCGCGGTAGCGTTGCGTCACAATTGGAGTCCATGGTGTCGTGGAATAATTACGTCTCTTGAACGAACGCGATATTACATTTTTCACAATTCAGAAAGACATCTTGCTTCCGAGGCGCGTTATTGGATCTGTTACACATCATTTTTATTTTTGTACATTTTTATTTTTTTCTTTGTAATACAAAGATCTTTATTTCATTTTGAATTCAGAAAACTTGTGGAACAACTGAAACGAAATAATTACATTATTGCAATTTGTCGACAAAAATAAAATTGTGACCATACATTTAGGAAAATAATTAATCCTTCTATCTTTCGTTTGATAAAGAAAATAAATGATGTTTTGTATGTTTGAATGCAGAGCGAGAGAAGAGTATAAAACACGGAGAGAGCCCTGTAGAGCCAATAAGCAGCTGCAGGGACGAACATGGCTTTGTGCCAACAGTTGGCCGCTGGGGCAGTGAATGGCCGAGTTGACTCGAGACGGCAGAGATATGGTGCCAGCCACAGGGGCAGGCACGCGGGCCCTGGATCAGGGGTGTTCCGCTACCCCTGCCAGTCTGGGCCCATTACGAGTCACCAGCCCTGACCGTCTCCACGGTCGAACAGTATGAGGAATTAGCAGGCAGCGTTGAACTTGAAACGCAACGCTTATTGCGTGAGCATCGCTATGACACTATTGGCAATTTCCTCAGGTATATAACATCATTCATTGATTATTTTTTATTATTTCTAATTATTGTTCTATAATATAAAGTCTATCGTTACAATACAGGTTCTACAAGGACTACACTGCAAGTGGAGAAAGTGCGCTGGATCGATTCTACCGGAAATATCAGCCACTGATAACACACGAACACCATACTTGCGTCGGTCTTGGATTTGAATTATTACATCGATTAACAGGATTAAACAAGCGATTCCCAGGAATAGCAAGTGGCCTCTACTTAGTATCTTGTGAAGAGGTAAAGAGAGATATTTTTTAATGTTTATATCTTAAGTCAGTATTTTTCAAAGCGAAAGTTGCAAAGCTATTCTAAAGAGATAGGAGTTGTAAAAAGTCTTCAAAATTTTCATTTAACTTACAAGTAATAGTAGTAATAAAATACACATATAAGATTCATGATTATTTAATAATGTTTATGATTATAATAATAATATCAGAAACAGGAAACAAACTCGTTTAACTATAAAACATAATTAAAATAATTTTACATTCATTTCTTTATTTTCTTTGGTATAAATTCTAAATTATTATAAATAAAATTAAATAAATTTCAACTCGTGATTTAAAACTGAGTCACGAGTATTTTGTTTCTTGTTAGGAAATCACAACTCTGTTTTAAAAATATGTTAAATATAGAAGTTAATTAATACTCAAATAAAAGTATTTATACATGTATGAAACACAGAATATCTCCTTGTTTTGAAACATTCGAATTTATAGTTACAAGTAGAATATTCAATTATTTTTCGTGCAAGAAAAGATTAAAAAAAATCTTTTTTTATTAATCAATATTTGAAATAATCTAAATTGCTAAAAAATGAATAAATATGTTGCAGACGATTGGTGATATCGCCGGCTATGTTGGCGGTCCACCAGCAGCAGATAGCGGCGAGAAGGAGCATGTACTAGTGTGCCTGAAAATCGAGATTGGCGGACGTCGTGGTGTCATGCTACTCGATCCTGGTTACCACGTTGCGCGCGTTATCACTGTGATGGCCGATAAGTCATACCCTCACACGGGCTGGTTCACACAATCCGATGAACCGACCTGTAAGAAAGAGTACAACTACTGTCTATGTGCCGACGATCCCGATTATGTCGAGTGGCATGAAAGAAAACTCGACCTGGTGCCTTGGAGAGGACGCAAGTTGCTCTCATTTATGTGGCAAGGCCATATTTAACTGCCATTGACGTTACAGAACGTAGAAACTTGGTTTATAATCAGAGAAGTCTTCTTGCCAGAGATACTAAGGGTCATGTTACCGCCGGCATATATTTCCCCATTGTACTAGACATGAATAACAGTCAGACCTTCACAATTTTCTACCAAACTGGTAACGGGAAGAAACGAGTAAAAATGGCATTTAGTAAATTTTATGGTTCACCTAAGGTATAAGTCTTGATATTAATCTTGAGATTAATTGGAAATATATATATTCAGAGATACCTGAAACTTATAACTATTCTTTATTTCAGATAAGTCCTGATACCGAGGAAATGGAAATGATAGCAGAATGTGCTCGGCAACTCAATATTTCGCAAGAGATCTTGGAAAATATTCTCTCTGCTCTTGCCACTATCATGAATGATTCGTCATTCATAGCACAGTTGCTGGCTATCAATGCAAGAATCAACACCTTAGCCGAAGCAAATTAACAAATGGAAGTCACTCCAATCAATGGAGCATCAACGCATCACGTTTTACTATTTTTTTTGCCAGCTTTCCTCTTACGTTTTATTTCTTTTATTATCTCTCATGGTTTATTTGTTTCATGGTTTCTTTTGTTTGTTATAATTACAATGCTTGTATATGTAATGAATATGCAAGGACAAATCATGCGATGTTTTTTTAAAAATTCTCTTTTTGATTTGAATTGTTTTTTATGCACATAATTCAATAAAAACGTTAGACATGATTGGATCGCACTGATTTAAAGATATATATATGTATATTTTAAGTCTCATCATTTTATACATTCGTTTTTAATGTAGAACGCAACGCAAAACTGATCATTTTAAAAACACAAAAAAAAATTTTAAACATTGTGTTGCTTTTTTATATTTTATAACTTGAATATGCTAGCTTTTGGGTTTTATGGTAATATAATAGATCGATATGATAATATTTTCATTGAACAACATTGGTACTAAAAGGCAGTTAATAGATTACTATTTATATAGAAAAAAAAGGACTGCACTTAAAAGTTATATTGTGGTACAAGGGATACTTTTTGTTCCGCTGTGTGCGCGCGCTTGCGCTGCATGTCGTTTCTTTAGAATGTAATATGTATATCTTTCAATTATAAACACTAAATTTGATTTTATTTGAATAAATTGTTTGATGGACAAAATGTTGCATCAATTTCATCTTACCTTATTCCATAAATCTGCTATCAAATTATAATCTGATTTATTATAGAATTAAATAAACATTTCTTATTTAGAATATATTTGAAACAAGAAATTTATTTATTCCCTTTACACTTTTGGATATATTTAATTGTATAATAACAAAACTAGTGGAAATTAAACTAATCAATGAACATATAGTTCTTGATAATATATTAATAATAAATATGATTATATTTAGATGATAGAACACGTACGAAAATAATATGCAAAATTACCGTAACTTCTCTAATTACTGACAGAAGTTTGAGCTATATTTTAAAAATTCATATATTTCCTTAATTTTCCTGACATAACTGAGATTATAGTTTGCAGATCTATGCAAATAAATATTCCTACACAAAAGAAACAAAAGAATTTTGTTATTGTTTTAACATGCATAAATTTGATAGATAATTATAAATCAAATAATAGTTGAAATAATATTATTTATAAACAGATCAGAGAATAATTTAGAAAAATAATCATATAATTATCCCGAAACTTTAATAAATAGTAAAAAATGATATTTCTAGTTTAAAATAAGTCTCGTTATGTGAGGTTTCACAATATGGATAGAATAAAATATGTCACGAGTAGTAAGTTGAGACATTCTAGTTGTCACTAGGGGGAACGTGACGCTTATTACTAATTTGTCTATCCGGCTTATGTTCGCGTTTTCGAGATCCTGACGTAGACGATGACGTCGATGATGCTTCAGCTCTCGCAGACGCTGCGGATTCTGGAGATTTCAAGCTGTAAACACATGACAAATCAACATGTTTTTGCATAATATAATAATTGAAAAACCGAGTCTTGAATTGAAAATTATTGAAGTTATGAATAGCATATGACATTACTATAATTGTGCAATTTTTGAATGCGAGAAAAGAAAATGCAAGCAAGATAAGCGAATCGTACGTACTCCTGTCTAAATTGTTGCACATGCTTTTGCAAAAGTTGCATTTTTCAAAAATAAAAAGATATATATGCGCATATCAAGTAAAGTTGACGAATAAAAAAATATACATATATCTAATCTAAGCAGATGTAACAAAAATATGCATTATTTCTGTTACAACTATTTATCGAAATTGAGAAATATCTGAGATAATAATAAATATAACATTATTAAATTATAACAAACATTTATAAAGCAATCTAATATACAACCTTATATAGCTACTATATTTAAAGTATTAATATCAATTAGGATAAATCGACATAAATGTATATTTCTCTCTTTTTATCTTGATATAATAGAATTACTACACATTCCAATACCAAAATAGATATTATTAAAAGATATCAGTAACCGAAATATAATAAACATAAATGTTTGTAACTACAATTGATACCGAGAATAGAATTAATCAAACAGAAAGAAACAATAGAATGAAGCGCAACGTACTTACGTTGCATAAGCGTCACTGGTGTATACTATGTTTTTAACTTATTAATATTTGCGGCTGTACCTGTAATACACACACAAGACGGTATATTCTGTATCAATTTCAATAAACTCGCTGTATAAATTATGCATTCCACATAAAGAATATTGTAATTTAAATATAATTAAAACTACGGCATTAATAACAATGTTAATACCGTCCAAAAAATAAAACCGTAAACTGACTTCGAAGAAATGAAGAATATTTAATTTTTTTTTTCTTGAGAATAATATTTCTATATTAAAAATTATATCATTAAGAACTAGCAAATTATAAAATTATTATATTATCATATTAATATTTTTTATTATATATAAAAACATTAATTTCTTTTATACTATATATTTAAAACCTATCTGTAAAAGATATCATGATATCATTTATTAATATGATAGCGAAATGTAATTACATATTAGAAACAGAGCACTACCATCTCAGTTTATCACTATTTATCTATGTATCTAATATAAGCATTACAATGCATTTTTTTCCTTGTGAAATGCACGTACCAATGAAACAGATTTGATGTTATGAAGTTAAATTATGAAGTAGTATGAACCTTTCTATACTCATGTACACTTATCATGAAATAGGGGAATTTGTTTCTTTTAAAAATATTTTTTTAAATTACAAATTTCGACCTCTACTATAATTAAAGCAATGGAATCAACTGAAACACAAAAACCAAACTTACCTTGAAGATGAAGATGTACTTTTTATTTTCAAGGGATTTAAAGACCTTATAGCACGTCTAGCAGAAGGTACCCATCTTCTATTAGAATGTCGACTACAAGAGCAGGATAATAAAACCAATATAAAGAACAGAAACAAGAAAAATATTTTAACAAAGAAAAACAAATAATAATACTAAAAATAAAATAAAAAGAGTGAAAAATATAAGAATATTTTATAAATTAAAATTATTAATTTCTATATATCCTATTTCTATATATATATATATATAATAATTTGACATTAAAATCTTTTCTATTCAACCAAAAAAGAATTACGTATAAATAAATATATTACAAACTAAATTTACTTGAGTAATTTCATTCTTCTTAATATATTGCCAGGTTCAATTTTTATAAATTTTAAAACGAGCTCATATGAAATATAAAAATAATAAAAAAATATAGAAAATATGTATAAAGATGAAAGGTCAAAGTTGTAAAAATAGATGTAATACACAACATTCATGCTTTTATGATAATACATTGAAAAGCAACCATGCATATATTTATTTCAAAGCTGCATATAGGAAGAAAGAATAAGAATATATAATACATGTAAAAAGCATTGCCACACATGATGAAATCCTGTACTTCCATTATTTTCTGATGCGTCTGTCTCCGTATCTCTTATATCTGTTGTGCAAATATAAAATTCGTCAATGCTTTTGATAAATTATTATTATTAGAATTTATTCATTTTGTTAATAAATAAAACTGACATAAAATTTAACAGAGTGTATGTTAAGTAAAGTGTAAAATATTTACTGAAGTACTCTAGTTAAATCCAGATAATATCTAAATCCAGATATAATATTTGCACAACTAATTTTACATTTTAAATTAACTTAATTTAATAAATACATTTATAACAATAATTCATATTTAAACAATTTTTCATTAAATACTTTTTTGGACTATAATATAATAATGTGTTGCACATGAAACTAAATAATAAATTAGATGATATATATATAGTGTGTGTGTGTGTGTGTGTGTGTGTGTGTGTGTGTGTGTGTGTGTGTGTAGT